AAAGATTATGATTGTTTAATCAGTTGTTATGTAAGTTGGCACGTGTTAATCGGTTCACTGATTTTCGACAATACCAATGAAAAATTGGCACGTGCCTAAACATTGTTCAATTACTTATTTATTTGTGATTCTTTTTCTATATAATTTGGAATTTATGCATAAATGTCAATATCTACCATAATATGATTTTTTTACATGTACCATCACCCCCTTCTAGTCCTTAGTGGTATATTATAAGTCCTTAGTGCACTAAGGAGTCCTTAGCAGGGTTTAGACGTACCGAGTTTAAAGACGTAATTGACAGTCAGAGAAAAAATAGAACTTGTGCAATGCCAAAATATAGGTATCGACGGATTGTATGACCGTAAATGTGCAAATGTGTATTGCAATAATATTTAGTTTGGTTTTAATTCATTGATAAAAAATCAATATGTATACCGATAAAAACAATCAATATTTAGAGATCTAATTACAGTGTTGAATAATATTATTGGTTACCTTTTAAAATAAGAAATTTACGGGCTCGGTAAACCATCTCTGTAAAAATAAGGTTGTGCTATCCCGTTTGTAATAAGTTGTAGTCAGGTACAGCCAAACTTCTAAACTAATGTTTTTATCCATGAAAGAATTTTGTAGATGTTTTAAGTAATTTGTGGTAACGAAATCGTTCCCTCAATAATTTACCAGTAATACATAGATTACATTCGTTGAAATCCAAAACATCACTAAAGATACGGACATAGAGAACGAGTTGGTATATAAATAGACACCGTAAGATGGTGCCAAAGGAACATCACCGTCCAAAAAAGAGAAATTAACAATAGGAAACGAAAAATCGTCCGTTTTGTCGTAAATTTTTGTGTAGAGTTTCCCGTGTAAAACTGAAATATCTAAATCTAGGAAAAGGACAGTGATTTGTTTATATGCCTATTAACCCATTTATCCAAGTTTTGTGAGTGCTCAACCCTTAATTTTAGTGTATTACACTAATCGTATATCTGCATCTACATGGTACAATATATTAATTTAGTACATAAAGAACAATTTGTAAGCCACTATTTCATTAGAGGCCATTCATTAACGGACTTCTGTTGTTAGCAATCATGTAAACATAACAATGATATCGGCCAATTTGTCTGCAATCAAGATAAGTAATTTACATTTGCTATTGTATGTTCAAACAAAATATGTACATGCAAATTATGATATTACCAACCCATACAACCTAATTTAAACCTGTGTTCATTTAAGTATAATATCTAACGCGTTTTTATGCCACACCAATTTGATTAATAGTTCTTCGGACAAAAGCTCCAAAAAAATATGGGGCGAGCGAGCGAAATTTTTTTGTTTTTATATATTTTCTTAAAATGATTTTTTTTGAGGCGAGTGCTATACATGTGAAGCGAGCGGTATTTTTTTTTTAATTGTGTGATTAAGAAGTTGTACAATTTATGTACATGTTATAACTGGGTTATTTCATAGACAAGAGTGCACACGCTGAAATGTCTTGCCTGCTTTACTGATCATTGATTTTAAATATAAAGCTTTACTACAAGTATCACATAAACTTAACATGATCCAAGAACATGAGGCCAAGGTCAGATATACCAAAACGGAAATACATGTACACCTTACAATCATTCCATACACAAAATATAGTTTCTAAGAAACAAACTTAACCATGACTGAAATGTAACAGTGACCAATGAACAATGAACATGAGGTCAAGGTCAGATGATACCTGCCAGACAGACATATACACCTTACAATCATTCCATACACCAAATATAGTGACCTATGATTGCTTATAGTTTAAGAAAAACAGACCAAAACACCAAATATAGTTGACCTATTGCATAAAGTATTAGAAAAAAAAGACCAAAACACAAAAACTTAACTTTAACCACTGAACCATGAAAATGAAATCAATGTTCAGATGACACCTGCCACTTGGACATGTACACCTTGCAATTATTCCATACACCAAATACAGTAAACCTATTGCTTATAGTATCTGATATATGGACTTGACCACGAAAACTTAACCTTGTTCACTGATCCATGAAATGAGGTCGAGGTCAGATGAAAACTGTCTAACAGGCATGAGGACCTGGCAAGGTACGCACATACTAAATATAGTTGTCATATTACTCATAATTAGAGAGAAACTAACATTACAAAAAAATCTTAACTTTTTTTCAAGTAGTCACTGAACCACGAAAGTGAGGACAAGGACAATGGACATATTACAGACGGGAACTTCATAACATAAAGCATCTATATACAAAGTATGAAGCATCCAGATCTTCCACCTTCTAAAATATAAAGCTTTTAAGTAGTTGGTTAACACCGCCGCCGCCGCCGGATCACTATCCCTATTTCGAGCTTTCTGCGACAGAAGTCGCAGGCTCGACAAAAACCGAGGAGCAACAGATGCTCTAATGCATATAATTTGACCTGTACCATATCAGACTTTCTTGTCTCACAGTGGCCAAGTTTATTTAATTTTGGTTATTTTCTTCAAGTAAGCTTTGTCTGTGTGAATTTTAATTTAGGAAGCATAGCAGATGCAGTTTTACAAGAGGAAGTATGTTAGTTAGGTAAATGACACATGTTGAATAAAATTAAAATTTGTGTATGTATCCAAAAAAATGCCCCTGAAAGATATTTGATAGTTGTTTTCATTGTATAGTAATGATTGCTTATTGTTGTAGTTTAGTGTTTCTGATGTTCCGTTGTTTTCCTCTTATAGTTGATGTGTTTCCCTCGCTTTTAGTTTCTTACCCGGATTTGTTTTTGCTTAATCGAATTATGTCTATTGAACAGCGGTATACTAATGTTGCCTTTATTTATTGGCTGATTGACAACCAGTTGGAACTATTTTTATAAAAATAAGGAGATGTGGTATGATTGCCAATGAGACAACTATCCACTAAAGTTCAAATGAAGTGCAAAATAATGAGTGAGGTGAATATTTCTTGCTTTGTACTAAAACAGCATCCTGAGTAAGATAGTTATATTGCTATACAGGTAGATCCAAATGTATTAAAATATTCCCTTAAAATACCTTTCACCCCATTCACATGCATGTTAGTTACTGAGCAAAATTCTCTTTCCTTTTGCTCCTAAAATCTGTAATGCATTTAAAACTCTTAGGTTGACTAGAAGTGGTTGAACCAATTACACACCCCTAATTATTATGAGCATGCCAATCACAATACGGCATTACCTTGGTCTCGTTGGAACTCTTTAAATTCCTCCCAACAAAAGAAGAGTTCTGCTTGCATGCCAAAAGATTAACAAGGGGATACGGGGTTTCATCAACATCAAATACTGTTGTGATTTTTAAAAAGTTCATGGGAATTTACAATTCATTTCATCCAAAACTGGCAAAAGATAGATAGGTCTATGCCTGTTGAAACAAGGATCGGGGGTGACGATGGTTCTAACAAATATTGATGTGTTTGTGGTCATCTAACGAAAGATTTTATTTTTCGCATCCTAGAACAGGTCTTTAAAGGTAAAACGAGAAGCATTTCGGATAACTGTGTGTTCAATTACTACTTGTCCACGGCAATGAACTGACACAACTGCATGTTGGCATCCCGATTTTTTACCTTTTATTTACAAATCGATTTATCACACGTGCGTTTAAAACGATTAATTTACTTATTTTATAGAATCTAGAGGGTAGATAATAGCATTTTGTACCTTGTTTGTAGAACAGTGAAATATGTTTCAATAAATGAAACTCAATAAAAATGAACGAGCTATAATGTTAAAAGTCTTATTTTTTCTGATACTATAAAAAAAGAGGGAAAATACAAAAGCGGTCCACAAAAAAAATAAACAAAAAAAAAAACAACAAGAAATTAAGGATTGAGCAATATAAACCCTTCAAGAACCGGATAAACTCAAGTGTATCGGAAGGGTTATGAAAAATATAAATAGCACTTTGTAGATGTGCACTTTTCTGGATTTACTTTCATCAGGAACGCTCATACCCGAAAAATTGAAAGTCAAATGATCTCGTTGTCGTAAAGCTTAGTTTAAGTCAACCCATTAAGTCGATTTCTAGGTGTTAGTGAAGAATCAGGCAGATCTAACTGTATTTGGTTTCCTTTTAAAAGATTGATAATATTGTTACCAAACTCCGGGCTGAAGTATTTATTGTAACCGTGGCACCATCAACTATATAGCGGAATGTGGAACAAAAGGGTTGTGCTATTCAATGTCTAACTTCTTATCATTTATTACAAGAAAACTCTGTATAAGTATTGTCTTATACGAATGAAGTAACAAGTCGACGAGAAGGGAAGCACAGTTGGTTCCTATATGATGCTGCGAGCATATTGAAAGCATATCTACATATTCATATCAATAAGCTGTGCCCATCCTCCTCAATGGTTCATGGTTTTTGTCAATTATAAAACAAAAACAATTTGTAATAATACAACAAAGCAAATATATAATATAAAAAATAATATACAATAAATCGAACTTATTAGCAAAAATAAAAAAAAAGAGTTTCTGTCCCATTTATTTATACCTGAATAGAAGACTCGTAAGAATTGCACGCATATTTAAGTACAGCCAATGATTGTTTGAGTTTCATAGTTATCACATTTTTTTGTTACGAAAAATTCAAAGGAAACCAGACTGACCGTAATAATAGCCTTATAAGTAAGCATAACCAAACATTAACTGCGCTTTATCAGTCGCTAAGACTAAAACAACACCGAAGTAAAGATCAATCACCGAACAACTGGCAATTAACTGAAACGATTGCACTTTGTACAACACATCTATGTGTTATTATGTAAATCAGTTCAAACTCATTGTTTTAGCCATTTAACTATTGTAATCATACGCTATTTCATTTCCATGTGAAATTGTATGTTTGTTTTGCAAAAATCCGTTTGAACTTGAAAAAAAAACTATCTCTTTAACTTTTCACATTTGACTGGCTGATTTTTTTTTTCTCTTTTAGAACATACCTTTACTCTTGGGTATTCCTTGGACGTGAAAGTAAAAATTACTTTAGATTTTTTATTTATATATAGTCATTAGCTTCATGTACCTTAATGATTGTTCTGACAGATTTTATATTTCATACACATATAGTTAATAGGTTTGTAGTAAAACATCAATACTTATCTAAAAGGCAATAAACATCTATTTTTGGGCCATTATTTAACAGTATTGTAAGATTTATGGCTATTATTATTTTTTTTCTGTGTGTATCAAATGGCTCTTTCTGTATTTGCATGGTATCACACGTGTTGTTAATAATTAGTATAGTAAATTGCTTCACTTTAAACGATTCACACTTACATGTATTTAGGAGTAAAACAATCTTAACGTATAATATACAGACATAATCTATACTAGATAGTTTCCTGTCTAATAAGTTATATTTGCAAAATAACGATCCAATGAAAAACCAAAATAATCATCTCTTGCTATAGCACAAAGACTTGGATCAGATGAACATTTCATTGCACTAGTTTCAAAGGCCATTGATCTAGATAACATTGATTCCTGATTGTCAAAATTGAATCCTTGAATCCTTGAACCGTATATATGAACATAAAATACTAATAATGGATGTCTTGGTTGATGAGTGTAATAGATCAGATTAATTCTATAAGTGACAAAAAGGGTATGTTAAAAGAAAGCACTGGGGTAAAATGTAAATCAAAGATCAAACGATGGAGATTGTCACAAGGCAAGAAAGGCTTATAATAAAGCAAACAAATGTGTGCTGGAGGATTCGAAGTGCTGAGAATAAGAGTGACTTGATGAGACAAAGTAGAAATTATAACAAAGCAATGAACAAATAACACTTTGTTTATCGAAGAACATTATTGGCAAGTTAAAAAATCTGAAACTAATGACCCATCATTATTTTATCCCTTTTGAATAAATATGAAAAGTGTATACTTTTTTTAACACTTTAAAAAAATAAACACTTTTTTATGATACAAATGTAGAATTTGATATTGTAGATTTAGGTGTAACAGAACACAACATATATAATGCTTCATCTACAGAAGATGAAATTTTGAAACCTATAAAACAGCATAAGAATGAACAAGCATAAGGCTTAGATTTTATTTTGGAAGATGTGTTTTTGGATCATTCATCAGTTAAACTGCTTGACATTTGTACCAACATTTTTATCTTGCTTTCGATAAAGGTATTGTACCTGAAGATTGGACAACGGTTGGTTTATTTGCCTTTTTTTATAAAATGAGTTTCCTACGTGATAATTAAAGAGGGTTCAAGTATTAAGCTGTTTTTTTTTCAAATTTATTGTCTATTTTGTTAAACAACTGACTAAATATTGACCTGGAGAGTATGAATCTTCTATGTGAAGAGCATGAATCTTCTATATGAAGAGCATGAATCTTGTATGTGAAGAGCATGAATCTTCTATGTGAAGAACAGGCAGGATTTAGGAAAATGTATGATTCTATTGATCCTATTTTTAATCTGAAATATTTCATTGATTTACACATTGGAAGAATCAAAGACCTTTATTGCACATTTATTGATTATCGTAAGGAATTTTATTCTGTTCAAAAGATTTCATCTTAGAACAAAATATTTCAATATAATTTGGAAGGGAAATGTTTAATTTTATTTTTGGTATGCACGAAAGTGCCAAATCATGTGTTAGACTAGAAACAGCAAACGGTCTGATTTTTGTTTAGAAAGGTCGGAGTAAGGCCAGGTGAAAATCTGTCACCCGTGTTGTCATTATTTAACAATGATGAGCATTCTGTCACCCACAAGTTGGCAAACGTGTACTATTAGCAACAAAATAACATATTGTCTCCCATTTATTCACTTAATCATATATAATCATATGATAATATTATATATTAACTCATATTTTATGTCTTGTTTATCAACATTCCTTACTTTATATGTGTTATATGTATTTCTTTATTGGCAGTGATCCTGGATGCCTTTTTATATCCCTTTTGGTTACAAAGGTCGGTATGTTTTTTTTTAACTTTCTCTGTATGCATGTATAATCTAGAATATGCTTCTAACACAGCAATGCTAATGTTCAATAAATTACACAGTTAATAAACGTAGCAGCAGCTGTAGACAAAACTGACAAACTCCGTCTGTAAGTGCATGTTCTTTAGATACTGATACATTTTAATCTCATACTTTATATATTAATATCATAAAAACCCAAACATATGAGATTAACTAAAACGGACCTCGTATTCCATGCAACCCACTTTAAACTTTAGATGTAAAACGTTTTGTTAAACTATTTATACGATTAAAACATTGTTATAAAAAAACAACTAAAAAAGATTGATTTTGTCACACGTAAAATACCAAAATCTAAGTTCTTTAATAATAATATTGTCATTTAAATATATAAATGAATCCATGCGAGCTTTACAACAAATGTCTTGTCATAATTTGACAGATACTGCCAAAAGCAGATTACATATAAAAATTATATATTTGCACATTTTCGCTCAATTTCGGTCAATTTCTACTAGTAGGTCGTGTATCTATTTACTGTTAAACAATGCATGTATGCTGAACAAAAAAACCCGCATATTTTACGAATTAGACTTATCAAGTTTGTATATACATGAACAACATGCCACATGTAGAGCAGGATCTGCTTACCTTTCCGGAGCGCCTGAGATCACCCAAGTTTATGGTGGGGTTCGTGTTGCTCAGTCTTAAGTTTTCAATGTTGTGTTTTGCGTACTGTTGTTTGTCTGTTTGTCTGTTTGTCTTTTTCTTTTTTAGCCATGGCGTTGTCAGTTTATTTTCGACTTATGAATTTGAATGTCCCTTTGGTATCTTTCGTTTCTTTTGGACAATTAGATATACAATTTGGAGGATATGTTACCGTTTGAATGGTTTTACACTAGTCATTTTTGGGGCCCTTTATAGCTTGCTGTTCGGTATTCCGTATTGAAGACCGTACTTTGACTTATAATGGTTTACTTTTACAAATTGTGACTTGGGTGGAGAGTTGTCTCATTGGCACTCATACCACATCTTCTTATATCTATTTGACTGCAGGAACAGACGCAATTTAATTGAAAAGAGAAAAGGGAAAACTCACACTTCCCTTTTATGATACTATTCAATGATAAAGTCCTGGTTTACTTATAAATACAGATTTTAAATGCAGTTTTCGTATGTTTTCATTTTTATGTGTAGTTTGCACACCAAATTGATGACGTTGAACAGAAAAAAATCAGCTCTAAACACAATTAGAATATTACACAACCGTAGAACATCGACTTATATTTATACAAGGTAACGTAATTATTATCACCCGGTAAATAGGGTGTGATATTGGTAATATCAAAATATTTTAAATGTTATAAGCGTGTTACTCGATAAATTTCGATATGACAAATTAGTCAGACTTTGTATATTATATAACCTATTGACAGATGATTGATTTATTGTCCAATCTTTAGTGATAGTGACAAATAATGTCTAAGTTGTCAACGTACTAATTGTTTTTTATCCGAATTTATGTATTTGAAAGGTTTTATCATAAAATCTGATAAGTTCAGGTTGAATATGCCCAAAGAACTGCATAACAATGGTAATCGGAAAAAAGAGGGCAGCGCGATCGAAGTTAATCATCCGAAAGACAAACAATGCAAAACGTAAAAGAACAAATACCATATAGAGATAAATAGTCCAACACATACATGACTTCAGTACACAGATTGTATCGGTGCATAACATTTGCGCGCATTACCATTACATTTGCGCGCGGCTTTTGGTTACATTTGCGCGCATTCTTTTACAGGTAAACTCAGGTAAATATAGGTAGATAAATAGGGAATCTGGTGAAATACCTTTGCAATTATTTATGGTGCATCGGCATGAAATATCTCCTGACTTGAGTGTTCTGTCAATACGGAAACTAAATCCATCTTACACTAAAAATTTTTCCACCGATTTGTTTCTGAAAAAACGAAACTCCATGTGTGTGCCTTGACGCATTTTTACAAACTGACTTAAATGATTTATAAAAGCGCTCACTATTCGGTAAAATAACGAAACAGAATATTATTGACTCTGAAATATTCGCAATTAAGTTACGTGTATGTCTTAAGCTATTGCGGGATTTCTCATGATCACTGTATATTTTTTTAAGAATTTAATATGAAAAATATATAATTTAAATTTACAAATATAGTAAAAATTTATTATAACTATAGTTATATTTATTATAAATTCTCTTTATTTTACCTGTGTTACCTGTAAAATGAATGCGCGCAAATGAAATCAAACTTGAGCTGCGCGCAAACGTAAAAAATTGTAATCCCCAAATGCGCGCAAATGTAATTCACCCTATTGTATGGTGTGAAATATGTAAAACTATACACGTTTTGTTTCCTGCATTTATAATTGAATAACAACGATGGAGTACTAAAAAACTCGTCCTTTAATCACATTAAATTAGAGCATCGTTGAAATGGAGACAACTGCTCCTATCTGTCACTGTTGCACTTTTTTCAGTGGACTGTGACCAGTTTTTCTTGGGATGTTCTTTGTTCTGCCTGCAGGTTTTCAGTATCCTACAAAAATATATATAGAGAGAGAGCGAATATAATCTGATATTAGAAAAAAATAATCAACCTATTTACAAGAGTAAAATAAAAACAAAAAAAAAGGCTACCTAAATGTTATGTATATTTGGATGTGGCCTCGAATATCACTGAAGAGACCGCGCATATTGTGCAGTAAAATTGATACCGTTAATGGTTTCGTGTTATACTAGTTTTCATACTTTATCACAATTATAATTATCATTTTTACATCGCGATGACCTTGAGGTCATCCCGATGTATTGCTATCGCCTAGATTTCCATTATGTAAATTAGTTTTGGGTTTGTAACCGATCTATAAACATGATAAATACGCGCACATAAACGAGTGCAAAATAACATTCCTTAACGTTTGATATAAATACATCTCTTCAATGAATACTGATAAAAATATTTTTGTTTACAACATAAATTAATAATATGAAAATGTTTTGTAGTTAGATATATATATATAAGTAAAAAATCATTGATAATATCAATGCACACGTACCGAAAAATTGTGTTAAAGCATGCGGAAGAATATCTCAAAGAACGTTTTGTGAAAATACCGTCAAGGACCGGTAACTCTGTAATTGATTTTGCGGGAAAATATGAATGCCTACTCGTATCCAATCTTAGAAAAATCGATTTTTTACAGAAAAGTGTCCACTATGCACTTGCATTGCACTATTTTTAGAATAGTAGAATAGAATGATATACAAATGGATTCAAATCATATATATATGTAACTGTTATTTTAATATAATATAAACAACAACTCAGTGTATACTGATTTGTATCACTACAATATAATAGTTATTACGGTGAAGTTGAATTTCCTGTCATTTATTCATCATCCACGCACGAACTTGTCTCAGAAAAAAATATATCTCTGTACATTAACCTCAGTTTTAGGTAAAGAGATATGTTGTTTTTTTCTGAGACAAGTGCTTTTGACCATCCTCAAGAACTTGTGGTCATCCGATGTTCAGTACTTCAGTACTTTGATTATTTTATTATAATTGATATTGTTATTATTAAAGAATATGATATATATAAGTCGATAATTTCGACATTTTAATGATGGGAATAAGTTTTTCAATATTTTAAGATGAAGTTGAATTATCTAGCGTTTAAAATGTAACCTCAGTGATATTTTCAGAATTGACGGTTTTCTTTATTAAAAAAAAATGGATACACGATAAATTATGAAGAGGAAAAACACGATTTGTTACCCGGTAGCTGTTTTTTTTTACACAAAATAACAGTCGAATAATTTATTATAGCTGCCTACTATTTTATTCCTACACATCGCGCATTTTCACCCTAAAATAAATATGTATGCGGACCTCAGATTCAAACATTTGTGTGTAGATAACAATTTGAAATAGGAATAAGTCATAGATGTGGGAAAATCGACACCAACCGCAATGTTTCAATGGCTATCTTTAGAACAAACTCTAAAGGAAAAATAAGGAACAATACTTAAAATTGTTAAAAACCATATATATTCTTTTTGACTACCATTGTTGTTTATGCAAATTATTTTTTTTTCCGATTTCAAAAGAAGTTGAACAAGCAACTTACCACCGTGGATAAGTATAGATGGCCTGCTTATAACTCTGTGTACAGCATATTTAGGGTAGACATTTGGTCTGATATATCTCGCACCACTGTATCCTCTTCCTCCGTGAGGTAGACGATAATAGTCATCATCTAACAAATCGAAGCGATCGTCGTCGCCATAGTAACCATATTGGAATCCAAAGGCAACAGCGACACACAACAAAAGAATAAGTGCTTTGATCATAGTCATCCTAGATCTGAAAACAACAATAATCTGAAAAAAAACAACAACAATAGAAGCAAGATATTACTTTTATCAACCACGAAAAGTCGGAACTGTTTCCAAGGGAATCGGCTGAAAATATTAACGCTAACTTTAATGACATTCAAGCTCATTTCAGTCTTACAACATGCCATAATTTGTAACATATTTTCATGTACTGCACGAAACGTTTAATACACAAAAATTAATTTTGCACACGGATCTTTCGAACTGTGTTCAATTCTCCTGACAACTACATCTTAAATCGTATGCCACTGTACCAAGTCAGGAATATGACAGTTGTTATCCATTCGTTTGATGTGTTTGAGCTTTTGATTTTGCCATTTGATAATGGATTTTCCGTTTTGAATTTCCCTTGGAGTTCGGTATTTCTGGTATTTTACTTTTTTCAATGTAGCAATGACAATAACGACAAATACAAATATAAATAACACCTTAAAAATTATATGCTTACGAAGCGCTTTTCTGTGACAATATTTTAAAATAACCGTCTCAACACTTATCAAAAACTTACTTTGTCTCAGTGTAAGCTACAAACGGCTATTACAATTTTCACTGTGCAAACAAAGGCTTGTATAGTGTTGTGTCAATCTGAATGAAACTCATGTAACTGTCTGTCCACGTCAGTAGACACAATAACTGTCACCTTTTTGTGCAAGATTGTGTAATTATTTGGATTCTGATTGACATACACTATGTATTATGTCGTACCCCAAATAAAAAAACTACAGTATGTCTCTAGGTGGGTTTTTCTTAAATTGAACAGTAAGGCCTTTTTCCGCATCAACCTAACAGCAATTGAAAAAAAAATGTAAAATACCATTTTATAAGTTTGTTGCGTCTAATGCGATTTTTGCTACTTGATGTATTTTTTCAAATGATTGCTACGGAAATGTTAAAACTGTTAAGATATCAATAAAAGGGGATGTGAGATAAATATCAATGAGACATGAATCCAAAGAATCATATAGAGGTGAGTATATAGCCCTCGACAGTAAATATGTGTTGACAATATGTTAATCTCTTAATCGTCCCTAGTCTAAAAAAAGTTGTAAAAAAATTGAACTACCAAAAATCTGTGATTAACATCAAATCCTGCAAAGACAAACCAATTCAACACGATAATGAAATCTTTGAATATTGTTTTTATTGATATTAATATTGATTTTGTTATCAGTAAATTAAAACCATACTAAATATTATTGTTATACACATACTAGTATGTTATTTCACGGTACTACAATCTGTCGATACCTATATTTTGGCATTGCACAAGGTCATGTTTTTCTCAGACTGTTAATGACGTCTTTACACCAAATCCATTGGATGTTGGATGTGTACTGATTGATATTTTAGTCTTAGATACATGATTTTTTTATTAGTTGTTATTGGCTTTAAACTAGCATTCAGTAACTGCGAGTACTCTCAGATCTGTACTTAGAGTCTTTTTTGTTGTTAGGGATGAGGGATGGATAAATACCCTGCCACGTCTGGTCTGTGTTTTGGTTTGATGTTTTTCTGCTTTTTATCGATCTGATGAGTTAAGCCTTTTTCAACTGATTTTTATGGTTTATTCTTATGTTGTGCTGTTACACCACTGCCCCAGGTTAGGGGGAAGGGGGGGGGGGGGGGGGGGTTGAGCGCTCACAAACCTGTTTAACCCCGCCACATTCTTTATGTCCCTGTCACAAGTCAGGAGCCTGTAGTTCAGTGGTTGTCGTATGTTCATTGTCTGTCCTATTTTTTTCCGTAAATTACTTTGTTATAAATTAGGCCGTTAGTTTTCTCGATTAAACTGTTTCATATTTTTCATGCCGGGGCCTTTTATAGACGACAATACGGTATGTGTTTTTTTCACATTGTCGGAGGCCGTACGGTTGCCTATAATTGCTTACACCCACTTCATTTGAACTTTGGTGGATAGTTGTCTCATTGACAATCATACCACATCTCCTTATTTTTATAAAGACCTATATAAATGTGTGACATAAGGCAACTGGCGACGAAGTTCCTGTCGTGGGGCATGCATATAAATATGTGGCGGGTTAAAAAAAAAATATCAAAGATACCATGCTTAACTTTTATACGCCAGACGTGCGTTTTGTCTACAGTAAGACTCATCAGTGACGCTCGAATAAAAAAATGTTAAAAATGCCAAATAAAGTACGAAGTACAAAACACAACATAGAAAACTTAAGACTAAGCAACACGAACCCCACCAAAAACAGGGGGTGACCCCAGGTGCTCCGTAACGGTAAGCAGATCCTACTCCACATGTGACACCCGTCGTGTTGCTCATATAAGTACAAATCCGGTGATAAGTCTTATTCGATAGGTCACATTCGGGGAAACAAACGTTTTTGCTGTACGAAAACAATATATGACATTTTAAATTTTATCATAAAAGGTTAAATATTGTTTTAAATCTTTGAAGTGAGATATGTTTTTTCTCTAATTTTTATTATTGAATTATTTTAATGTGTTCAATATTACAAAATATTTCAACTGAGTTAACACAATTTATATTTTGTAAAAGAGAAATGGCACTCAATTGATAATATTCGTTTTTTATCCGTTTGGATATTATCTGTGACAGAAATTAGCCAGGAAATGCAGCGGAAAATAAAATCGTTTTAATTATTATTCATAAAGAATCTTTGGTGTACTGTGCATCGTTGACTGCGGATATTTGTGTTGAGTTTTAGTGAAGAGGCATTAACAAAAATTCCAAACTCCAAGGTAAAATTGAAAATGGAAATAGGGAATATGTCAAAGAGACAACAACCCGACCAAAGAGCAGACAACAGCCGAGGGCCACCAATGGGTCTTCAACGCAGCGAGAAAATCCCGCACCCGGAGGTAGTCCTCAGCTGGCCCCTGAATAAAATTGTGTACTAGTTCAATGAAAATGGACGTCACACTAAACTCCAAAACATATAAATGAACTAAAATTAAAAAAAAGGGGGAGGTCCATAAATAACTGACAAAATCAAACATTCGACTATATCAACCAACGGAACAAATGATAAATAACTCTCATATTCCTGACTTGTTACAGGCATTTCCCGAAGAAAATGGTGGGTTAAACCTGTTTTTTTCTTTGTAAAAAGTAAAATAACAAAAATACCGAACTCCAAGGAAAATTCAAATCGGAAAGTCCCTTATCAAACGGCAAAATCAAAAGCTCAAAAACATCAAACGAATGGAAAACAACTGTCATATACCTGACTTGGTACAGACATTTCCTAATGTAGAAAATGGTGGATTAAATCTGGTTTTATAGGTAACTAAACATCCCACTTGTATGACAGTCGCATAAAATTCCATAATATTGACAACAATTTGTGAACAAAACAAACAGACATAATAGGTAAAAATGTCAAAAATAAGGATTCAGCAGTCAACATTGTGTTAGAAACTTAATCAATATAAAAACAAACAAATACATCAACAAAGAAAAACAAAATGGCATATAGACAAAGCACATAAGCAAAAATGAAAAGCAAGAATACAAAAAATGACCACAGCACAACAACACATTGGCGGGATGTACCGAGCCACGCCAAAAGGATATTACCAAAAGAGGGCTAAACAGTAAAGGCTAATAATTTACAAAGACAAATAAAAGAACACTATAACACGTAATTAAGATGATAAAAAAAGTCAGTTCCTAGAATCTATACTTCAAGACCATCATGTATTATTTGTGAAGTTGATACGGAATATTTATCAACTAGGTTTTGGTATTTTCCGATGAACTTTTTAAGAAAAAGGACGAGACGTTCTTTCACATAACCCTGGTTCATCAACTTTCTGCTTAGACACTGGTGACGTTTTATAAAGTCTGAGTAGCAGCTGCAAGCTCTTGAATACCAGAGGTGGGGGAAATTAATAATTTCAAATTTAAAATCGTCTCGTTTGTCATAGATTCTCGTACTGAGATGACCGCTTATGTCAAATTCGATGTATAAGCCTAAAAATGAGGCGGAAGAAGACGTGTCTGTTGTTTCTTTAATTTCTAGTTCTTGAGGATATATTAATGGAACCCAATCAAAAAAATTTGGATTGTTAATGGAAAGAACATCATCAATATATCTGAATGTGAAATTAAATCATCTGGCTTCTTTGATCTTCTTGTTTTTGACAAGTGTCTGAAGGAACTCCGACTCATATGAAAATAAGAAGTCGGCAAGGAGAGGCGCACAGTTCGTTCCCATAGGAATGCCGACAATTTGTTGAAAATGTTTACCTCCAAATTCAACAAATATGTTGCCAATAAGAAACTCCAGCATAATGATCACTTGTTCCTCTGTGTAGCATGTTTTACTCTTTTGTTTACTATTAACAAACTATGCCGTATGGTATTGCAAAGTAATAAATATATGCCGTATGCTACCATTTTTATATTGAAAAGCATTGTGGATTATTTCTTTTAAAAAAAATTTCAATTCACATGGGGAATGGTGGTATTCAGTGTTGAAAAATCAAGAGATTTAAAATAACCAGAAATTCTTTATAGAGGTTTTTAGAATACACATATGGTTAATACCACTTCGCGAGTAAACAGTTTCAAAGTATTTCTGAAGACCTTCTTCCACTGCGGACAGAATTTTTGTCAATCTAATGGACAATTCCTTTGTAGAACATGCAGATGAAGCGGAAATGTAGCTAGCTAAACCTCCCATGTATATGACAGTTGTTTACTGTTTCGTTATTTTAACAAAATTGGATAAGCAACCCAAACAGACATAATTGGTTAATGTGGCAATAATTAGCATCCAGAAGCCTAAACTGTGTTAACATACATCACAGACATGCAACAAACTGACTACAAAATATATAATCGTGGTCCTTGTTCATAAAACACATTAACTTAAGCGTTCATTAAACTAAGATTTCCTAAAGATTTCTCTAGTTCAGTGATATTCTTAGGTCGTATGCATACTTTAGTTTGCAATAGAGATATTCTGATATTTTAGGTCGTATGCATACTTTGGTTTGCAATAGTGATATTTTTAGGTCGTATGCATACTTTGGTTTGCAATCTCAAGTATTAATGTTATCGGAACCTTTCTCTGAATACACGCAAAATATTACAAAATAACAAAGGACTGAATACTCTAAATCATCAGCCACACCACAACCTGAAGAATGATATGTCTGTAAAATCTAAACCTCCAGCAAAACTATACTTCTTAATCATCGTATATATCAATCGAATTTGTCTTGTCTTGAAATATTCGCTTTCTTTTCATAGCCTCCATTCTGCTAACACTCGATAACTATTTTGTATTTGTACAACCTTACGTCCAAGTTTATTTACATTAGCAATAGATCGAATTCCAAGCGTACATAAATAGTTAACATTATTTGTGTTGTCAGAATGTAAATAATCGAGAATATGACAAAAGTGGAGGAGGAAATTATATATTACCCCTTTCAATCTCCCTTATTGTTGATTATACGTAAAGTGTTCAGTATACTTAATTTGGTTACGGATATTTAGATTGATTGATTGATTTTTGGTTGCTAAACGTCCAGTGGCAACTATTTCATGCATATTGAGGACGAGAACAAATTAACAATAAATACAATAAGTAGGTCCTGTTATAGAGGTCGTCAAGGATGAAGGTCGCGGAAATTGTAACTGCCACTGGAAAATGTGGGTGTATTGGATAGGAACAGAAATTTTGCTTTGCAACAGTATAAAAATAAGGAGATGTGGTATGATTGCCAATGAGACAACTATCCACCAACGTTCAAATAAAGTGGATGTAAGCATTAATAGGCAACCGTACGACCTTCAACAATGAGAAAAAACCCATACCGTATAGTCAGGTATAAAAGGCCCCGACATGAAAAATATGAAATAAAACAATTAACAAAAAACAAATATGACAGCTATGAACCAACGACAACCACTGAACTACAGGCTCTCCTGACTTGGGACAGGCACACAAAGAATGTGGCGGGGTTAAACATGTTTGTGAGCGCTCAGATCGAACCAAAGAAAAACATCAAACAAAAACGCAGACAGGACGTGGCAGGGTATATATACATCCCTCATCCCTAACAACAAAAAAGACACCAAGTACAGATTTGAGAGTACTTGCAGTTACTGACAGCTCTGAGCTAGTTCAAAGCCTATAACAACTTATAAAAAAAATCATGTATCCAAGACTAAAATATCAACCAGTACAATCCAACATCCAATGGATTTAGTGTAGAGACGTCATTAACAGTCAAATAAAAACATGACCTTGTGCAATGCCTAAGTATAGGTATCGACAGATTGTAGTACGGTGAAAGTACATATGTGTAATAGTTAGTATGGTTTTAATTTACTGATAACAAAGTCAATATTTATATCAATAAAAACAATATTCAAAGATTCAAGGCCACCTACGGACCCCTCAAAGAGTTGTTGCAAGGGTTCTTAACGTGCAAAGAGCGTGGCATCGTTTTAAACGTCACCATTTCGACCAGACGTGGCTGTGTATTTGTTCATCCCGCACAGCCCATCGGACACTCCAGTTTGGCGAGGGTTTAACTGTCAGTCGATAGAAGACCAAAGATACTATATATCAATTCCTGAGTCATCCTTTGGGGCTTTGGGGTGGTGAATATTTAGCATTATACAAGCACATTATAGCAAAATTAAGATACATTAATCAAAACTTAGCTAACCTTTCCATTTTTCATCTATGACTTAAAATACTGATTTTGATCGAAAGTAAACATCAACATAGGAGTTGTTCTTTTCTTAAGTATGAATTGTACCAAAGATTTCAGTAGATAAGTTTGATTCTGTGAATATATACTTTTTTTCTGCTTTTGGTAAGTAATCTGGTGTATTCTTCGACAAACTGGAAGACGATTTGAGACATTAAGATATAACATTTTGAATATTTTTTGTTTTCAATGATATTTATGTCACCTTTGACTGCAGGATGTAATATTTGATTGATAGGAGAAAAAGGAAAATTCACACTTTGTTTTATGGTATTCTTCAATGACAAAGGCTTTTTCAAAGATCAGCTATATATTTAAATACAGATTTTGAATGCGGTTTTTATGGGTTTCAACTTTTACATGTAGTTTGGGCAGCAACTTGATGCCGTTGAACCTCACGACAATATATAATAGTACAAATATGACATAACCGTAGATCATCGACTTATATTATTCAAGGATTTATATTATTCCATGACATTTTGGCAATATCAAAATATTTTCAAGGTTATACGTGTGTAACCCTAAATAATTCGATATGGCCAAAATAACTCCTCATAGATACTTGGATTAAAATTGTATATGTGTTGGTTGCAAATTATCGAAAGACATTCAATACAAAAACAAAACACATTAAGAAATAAAACTTTGAGCAATAGGCAGTCCAACATATAACTGGCTTCAGAACACGGACTGAATGGTGTGAAATGTGTACATTTGAACTTGTTTCATTTCCTGCATTAATAATCTAATAACAACGATAGAATATTCAATAAAAAGAGAGGCGGGGAAAACCAAATGGGGTATGCAAACTCATAAATCGATGAAATCTGTAAACGCCATTGGAAAAAACGAAAAACGAACAAAATACGAACAACAGTATACAAAACACAACATTGAAAATTATTTTTTTATAAAAGATTGAGCAATAACTCGTCTGTTTAATCATATTAAACAACAACATTATTGAAATGGAGACAACTGATTCAATCTGTCACTGTGGCATTTTGTGGAATCAGCTTTTCCTTGGATGTTCTTTGTTCTGCCTGCAGGTTTTTTTAGTATCCTACAATATATATATATATAAGAAAAATGTATTGTATATGGCATAATCTGATACTATAGAGACAAATCAGCCTAAACCTAAGAAAAAAAAGTATTTCAATAGTGAATATATTCGGATGTTGCCTCGAGCATCACTGTATTTACTTTTACACAGAGTTGTCCATATAATGGAATTCTATGCGACTGTCATACAAGTGAAAGGTTTAGTTACCTATAAAACCAGGTTTAATCCACCATTTTTTACATAAGGAAATGTCTGTACCAAGTCAGGAATATGACTGTTGTTTTTCATTCGTTTGATGTGTGTGAGCTTTTGATTATGGCATTTGATAAGGGACTTTCCGTTTTGAATTTTCCTTGGAGTTCGGTATTTTTGTTATTTTACTTTTTGTTGTCGAAATGCACATCTTGTGCAGTAAAACTGATACCGTTAACGTTTAAATACTTGTATAATCATTATAATCATTATTAAAGGAAATAAGAGTTTAAAACACTATCGACTATGAGTGGTTAATTTTACGTTTAAAACTTTAGCTCAGCGAATCTTTTTACAAATGTTTTCTTTATTTTTAAAAACCCTTTGATGCGCGATAAATAAAGAGAAAACTCTATTCAATTCATCCTGTTTCAGATAGGTTTTAACCCGAAATCTGTTTTTCTCCTAAAGATAACGTGCTTCAATAATGGATACCTGCATCCTGTTTTCCTATATATCGTACATTAAACCCTCAAATAAATAAGTATTCAGACCTCAGGTTCAGACCTGGCGCATAAAAGTGTAATTATATATGAGGCCTTGAAAGAACAGCACTAATTTAAAACAAATCTGTCTTTCAGTAACTAATACAGTGGACATTTCTATAATTTTAGCAATCTTATTTTGCAGAATGGATATCTTTTTTCTTTGTGTGAAGAACTTATTTTGGAGTACCCAAAATATGTCCTGTATGTGGAACAATCTCCATCAAACGGAATATTTCCATATCCAGTCAGCACTTTTGTATGTTGACATACATCATCATTGATATGGTAATATTAATCAATTGACTGCTAAAAAGCTTACATGATTATGTTGTTCGAAATACTAAATATATCTACCCAGGAATAGATACCTTAGCTGTATTTGAACAAACAAAAAAAAAACTTTCAAAATTTTTGGTCCTCAATGCTCCTCAACTTTGTACTGTATTTGGTCTTTTAACTTTTTTTTAGTCGAGCGACACTGATGAGTCTTTTGTGAAACGCGCGTCTGGCGTACACAATTATAAGTCTGGTACCTGTGATGATTTTTTCTGAGTACAATAATAAACGAAAAGAAGGCGAAAAAGTAAATATAGTTTTCGTTTTTCTTTTAAAAGAAATTCAACAAAAAAACTCACCACCACGGATAATTATAGATGGCCGGCTTACAACTCTGTGTACAGCATATTTAGGGTAGACATTGGGTCTGATAAATCTTGCACCACTGTATCCACTTCCTCCGAGACGTATACGTAGACGATAGGAGTCATCATCTAAATCGAAGCGATCGTTGTCACCATAGTAACCATACTGGGAACCAAAGGCAACGGAGACACACAACAAAATGATAATTGCTTTGGGCATAGTCATCCTTGATCTGAAAAACATCAATAGAAGCAAATATTATTTTTATCAATTCCGAAAGAAACTACCCTGCTTTAAATGTTGCACCCCCTGTATTAATCTGTATTCAATAGTCAATGCTGTGTTTGAGTAAGTAAAATTTTGATTTATTATCTGTTTTGTTATAAAGAATTACATGATTATTGTACTAAATTGGACAAATTGGCTTTTATATTTCAAATAATTAGGTCTGGGTGGGGCAGATACCAAAGAAAAATGGGCAAAAAATAAATAAAATAAAGAATAATAGGCCATATAAATAAAGAACAGAGAATAAAGGGGTTTTAAAATCTAAGGAATATAGAAATATGGGTCAAAAATTTAAAGAAAAGAGAAAAATCCCCCCCCCCCCCCCCCACCCACATAAAGCATTCCAAAATTTGAATCATTTCCATGTTCTGCACGACACGCCCAATACACAAAACTATATTCTGCAAACAGATCTTTCGGGAAAAAAAGGATATTAAATTTATGCAATTCTCCCGTTAACCTTAAAATTTAAATCGCTTGCCACTGTCCTTGTGTTAGTTATTACGTCACTTGACTCTTAACAAATATCGTCACAACATTGCAAATGTTACCTATTCAAAACTTACTTTGTGTCAGTCGAGGCTTCAAATTACTTTTTCAATTTTGACTATGAAAATAAAGGCTTATATATAGTGTTGTATCAATCTGTTTGTAACTCATGTAACTGTCTGTAGACGTCAGTAGACAAGATAATTGTCAATTTTTGTGCAAAATTGTGTAATAATTTGGATTCTGATTGACATACATTATTTATTCTGTCGCACCACACATAAAGAACTACAGTGTTTCTCTAGGTGGGTTGTTCTTTAATTGTGTACGACTTTGAACCAACCTTACTGCAACTTTATGGTTTTTTTTTCTTCAAATGATTGCTCCGGAAATATTACTGTTAAAATATGAATGAAGGGGATGTTGGAGATACGCCAATGAGACAGCAACCCAACTTGACAAATTTAAAAGACGTATGAAGGTGAGAATACAGCCATTCCCGTTTGAATGGTTTTACACAAGTCATTTTGGGGCCCTTTATAGCTTGTTGTTCGGTGTGAGCTAAGGCTCCGTGTTGAAGAGCGTACTTTGACCTATAATGGTTTATTTTTACAAATTGTGACTTGGATGGAGAGTTGTCTCATTGGCACTCATACCACATCTTCTTATATCTTTTCAATAATATATAATTGTATAAAATATGTAAAAGGTCTAATCGTCCTTATTCTGAAATAGTTGTAAATAAGAAAGATCTGTCATCAACACCAGATTCTCCATGCAAATAAAAAAGCTGAATTTGCGACAGGTGACGTGATTCCTGACTCAGGACATGCACATAAATATGAGGCGGGTTAAACGTTTTTTTCAAGATCTTAAATCTCGATTAGGGTACTTTACGATGCTCCAGAAAGGTAAATATATCCTGCTCCACATATGGCAACAATCGTGTTACTCATGGCAATTAAAATCGGTGAAAAGTCTCATTCGGTGTCACAAAAGAGGAAAAAGGATAAGATTGTAGCTACGACAATTGAAACATATCCGTGGTCATCTGTGACACAGATATTCTATAACGGCCAACCAAAGCATGATGGCGTCCGTAAAACTTTCAAAGAGTGACTTTCACTTTTTCAATAGGAACCCTTGGTTCATTAGCTACCTTGTAAGCAGCAACCTTCTATCAAGGAAATAATTATAGGAAACGCTAGATCTGGAATATCGCAATATACAGGCGCTGTTGGACTGTTGCTACATAGGAAGACTGAGAAAGTTCACAATAGGAAAGCTTAAATAATTTCTTTTGTCGAAAAGTTTATTTCTCAATCTATAATCGTTGTCAATTTTAGATGAAAGTCAAGATATGAATATCCGTGGTATCCTTTATTTCAAGTGCTATGCGTTCAACATACGCATCAAACTTTGAATTATTTATTGAGTTCTCAAGAAGTGCAGCATCGTTGATTCAAATAGGAATGTCGAACGTTGGATGAAACTCACGTCATTCGAACGTTACAAATATATTGTCAAACAGTTTCCAATATTTTGTGTATGAATCAGAATACTTTTTAACCAAGTATGATTTATCCCTTCCTAACATAAGATATTTGCATCTACGTTAGCAATTGTTTTCAAGAAACAAAGTTTTACTCAATTGAAGGGTCTTTATTCTACTATCGGGAAATGACCTTTTGAAGTTAAAATAACCGTGAAGAAAATGTTGAACGCATTTTTATGTTTGATTAGACGACTCAAGAGGGTTAAAAAAAAATCAACAAAACATCATTTGATCATTTTAACATTGAGAGTTTCAAATTCCGTTAAAAAATTGATGTTTAGTACGGGAACAACATATCTTCGTCTGATATTTTAGCAAACTTAATTATGTCTGAAACATTCATCAATTTTCTGAATAATTGTTCACCGTTTATACCTACCTTGTTTTATGTTCTTATATACTAGAACAATAGTGCGATAAAAGGATTTAAAACCTCCAATTTTAAAGCCAGTTATCCGTTGGGTACACACACGAGTTTTGTAGTTGGTAGTCTATTATTGGGTAATTAGCATTTGCAATAATTAATTAAATCGCAGCATCATTTGGGTCTTTTCGAAATTAGATGCAAAGTTGAACGACGCAAATTTAACAGAGAAGTTTATCATCGTAAAAAAACCACCACCCACCAAATGTATTGCAATGAAATAATGTTTAAGACATGATAATGCTTTAAGTTTTATATTTCATCTTGAATTCTGTTAATGGTACGCGAGAAATGATATTAAGACGAAATCGTAATTTAATACCGGCTAAGGAGTCTGAAGATGTGCATGAGAACTTAAAGTTGTGGCATTTGGCAGATTTTGCTGCGCTTGATTTAACATTCATATATTCAGTGAATATTAATGATAGCCTCTGATTACCAGGGCTCATCAGTCAAGCTCTTGTTACCAGGGTACAGACATATTAGTTTAATATATATATATCTTCACACGCTTAAAACACATGTCTTATGTCTATCTCTAGATTCGCCTTACGTGACAAGGTAACACTACGACTATTGAAGTTATATTTTTATATAGCGGATGTGGTCGTGTGGTCTAGAGCGCTGGACATGAGGCTAAGCGATTGGTGCTGTAGTGTATCAAAGGTGTGAGTTCGAATCCCGTTGAGGGACAAAAATTTGTCAGCATAAAAGTCTAATTCTAACACTGTTGGGTGTAATTTTCAGACTTATATAAATATTTGTATTAACCCTGTGTCTCAAACACACTGAGATCCAGTGGGCATATATATTGTATGGTTGTCACTTGCTTAGACTTGTTTGTATGATATACTTATTTCTAGTGACTGTATAATGAATTGAATCATTATCCCATACGGTATATAAAAATTGTTGAGTTAGATTGCTGACAAATAACAAATACATTGTGTATTAAATAATAATATAACATCTTCACACGCTTAAAACACATGTCTTATGTCTATCTCTAGATTCACCTTACGTGACAAGGTAATACTACGACTATTGAAGTTATATTTTTATATAGCGGATGTGGTCGTGTGGTCTAGAGCGCTGGACATGAGGCTAAGCGATTGGTGCTGTAGTGTATCAAAGGTGTGAGTTCGAATCCCGTTGAGGGACAAAAATTTGTCAGCATAAAAGTCTAATTCTAACACTGTTGGGTGTAATTTTCAGACTTATATAAATATTTGTATTAACCCTGTGTCTCAAACACACTGAGATCCAGTGGGCATATATATTGTATGGTTGTCACTTGCTTAGACTTGTTTGTATGATATACTTATTTCTAGTGACTGTATAATGAATTGAATCATTATCCCATACGGTATATAAAAATTGTTGAGTTAGATTGCTGACAAATAACAAATACATTGTGTATTAAATAATAATATAACATCTTCACACGCTTAAAACACATGTCTTATGTCTATCTCTAGATTCGCCTTACGTGACAAGGTAACACTACGACTATTGAAGTTATATTTTTATATAGCGGATGTGGTCGTGTGGTCTAGAGCGCTGGACATGAGGCTAAGCGATTGGTGCTGTAGTGTATCAAAGGTGTGAGTTCGAATCCCGTTGAGGGACAAAAATTTGTCAGCATAAAAGTCTAATTCTAACACTGTTGGGTGTAATTTTCAGACTTATATAAATATTTGTATTAACCCTGTGTCTCAAACACACTGAGATCCAGTGGGCATATATATTGTACGGTTGTCACTTGCTTAGACTTGTTTGTATGATATACTTATTTCTAGTGACTGTATAATGAATTGAATCATTATCCCATACGGTATATAAAAATTGTTGAGTTAGATTGCTGACAAATAACAAATACATTGTGTATTAAATAATAATATAACATCTTCACACGCTTAAAACACATGTCTTATGTCTATCTCTAGATTCACCTTACGTGACAAGGTAATACTACGACTATTGAAGTTATATTTTTATATAGCGGATGTGGTCGTGTGGTCTAGAGCGCTGGACATGAGGCTAAGCGATTGGTGCTGTAGTGTATCAAAGGTGTGAGTTCGAATCCCGTTGAGGGACAAAAATTTGTCAGCATAAAAGTCTAATTCTAACACTGTTGGGTGTAATTTTCAGACTTATATAAATATTTGTATTAACCCTGTGTCTCAAACACACTGAGATCCAGTGGGCATATATATTGTATGGTTGTCACTTGCTTAGACTTGTTTGTATGATATACTTATTTCTAGTGACTGTATAATGAATTGAATCATTATCCCATACGGTATATAAAAATTGTTGAGTTAGATTGCTGACAAATAACAAATACATTGTGTATTAAATAATAATATAACATCTTCACACGCTTAAAACACATGTCTTATGTCTATCTCTAGATTCACCTTACGTGACAAGGTAACACTACGACTATTGAAGTTATATTTTTATATAGCGGATGTGGTCGTGTGGTCTAGAGTGCTGGACTTGAGGCTAAGCGATTGGTGCTGTAGTGTATCAAAGGTGTGAGTTCGAATCCCGTTGAGGGACAAAAATTTGTCAGCATAAAAGTCTAATTCTAACACTGTTGGGTGTAATTTTCAGACTTATATACATATTTGTATGAACCCTGTGTCTCAAACACACTGAGATCCAGTGGGCATATATATTGTATGGTTGTCACTTGCTTAGACTTGTTTGTATGATATACTTATTTCTAGTGACTGTAAAATGAATTGAATCATTATCCCATACGGTATATAAAAATTGTTGAGTTAGATTGCTGACAAATAACAAATACATTGTGTATTAAATAATAATATAACATCTTCACACGCTTAAAACACATGTCTTATGTCTATCTCTAGATTCGCCTTACGTGACAAGGTAACACTACGACTATTGAAGTTATATTTTTATATAGCGGATGTGGTCGTGTGGTCTAGAGCGCTGGACATGAGGCTAAGCGATTGGTGCTGTAGTGTATCAAAGGTGTGAGTTCGAATCCCGTTGAGGGACAAAAATTTGTCAGCATAAAAGTCTAATTCTAACACTGTTGGGTGTAATTTTCAGACTTATATAAATATTTGTATTAACCCTGTGTCTCAAACACACTGAGATCCAG